CGTTAGGCTCCCTGGTCGGGGACCCCGAGATAGTAGTCCCCGATGGTTAGCTACACTGAGCTATATGGCTGGGTGACGCAAACAATGGCGCTCATGCATCTACTCATTATTTTTATAATTTCACTGTGTGTATGTGTTATCCTCCGCTTGAATCTGCTCTGGACATCATATCCATTATTCTGCTGTTTTACCTAAATGGGCAACCAGAACCGCCGCACGAAAGTGCATGGTTATTGATTGGCAGAAGAGAACAAAATTGCACGGCAAAAATCTTTACGTTTGCGAGCGTCACTCGGAAGAATATATATGTGTAGCGTCGAACAGCAAACATGTTTTATGCTCACAAAACACCTCAAGGTGTCTGCTCATACAACGACAGACTCCCACGTAAAAGTGCAATTTGATTTAGCCTCATTGACATTCCGAACTCACGAGATGGAGCCTCAGGGGGTGGGTAAATTCCTAAATTGTTCAACTCATGAATTTATTACTTTATAATGATACGAATTAAACGAGTAAATAAAAAATCCGATACCACATTGAAGGGCAAAAGATCATACACCTACCATCAAAATGATTTGAAAGTGATACAACCTGAAAATATGCTCGATTGAAACGGTAAGCAAGCATTTCAGTAAGCAGCAAAATCGTTACGGAAAAAAATAAGAATCGATATTGTAAACGGGTTACTTAAAGGAGAAGACAAATAGTATAACTTGACTTCAGAGTAAAGGAGTTCATTGATTTCCACATATAAAATTTCCGACTTAGATCCTGGGAAATTTTAGGGTATTCATTTAACTTGAAATACGTATTGACCCAAATAGGTAAATTTAAAATCAACCAACCATAAGTAAACGAAAATACTTACTTGAGGAATCACCAGTATGTCTGAGAAAATAATGGCAGCATCCAAATCAAAACGTCGTATTGGCTGCAACGTCACTTCACATGCCAGTTCGGGAGTGCGGCAAATCGTAAAAAAATCATGCTTCTCGCGTAAAGCACGGAATTCTGGTAAGTATCTGCCAGCTTGGCGCATGATCCATATGGGCTGTCGTGATACCGGTTGTCCACGGGCTGCTTTGAGAATGCAGTCATTCACAAGTGGTGGGAATTCCGATGTTGGCATATTGAAATTCGTATTAGACCTGAATAAGGATAAGTGAATAAATATATTTTTGTCAAATAAGATACGGAAAGCCTTCTGGGGTTGAAAGCAGTTTTTCGAATCTCCTTTCGCACATTTTTGGCGATCGATTTAAGGGTGATCGACAGGACTGTGCATTTATGCGTGTCGATTGTGTACACGAAATTGAATGTTACAACTTCTTGCCCAGGAATATATAGAGGCTGACAAGATAGACCACAAAAAGCTGTAAAAATTAGTTTTATGCAATTGAAAAACTTTGGTTACTTAATGATAGTAATCTACTGTAAGCGATAGGTCCCGTTAGCAGAAAGTAAACGGTAGCGTCCGAATGTAAATGAGAAACATTGGGAAAATGGTTCGTTTGAACATCGTGCGCTTAGAGAACTGAAGCTAGTAGGTAGGTGGAAAAACATCTGAGAATTTTCAATTACAGGAATAAGCATAGTGCCAACATAATAGGAAACGAAAACGAGGAATCGAGTGCAAATAGAAGATCGTTGATAAAGAAAAACAGCAGTAATGATTTTTACGTGTGATCAGAAGTCAACCGTAGAGCATCTGGAACAGTGAAAGTAATAAAAATATAGCAAACTTTAAGATATTTACGTCTTCGTTGGTCTTTTCATAAACACTGGCATTTCCTTAGTGCAGCCAATTAGGTGCGCTCACTTCATCTACAGCTGACGTCTCTCACCGCATCGTGTCACCGCAGATGTTTCGAAAATCTTTGAAACGTTGCCACTATCTGCTACAAGCTTATAAGTCAGTTAAGCGCAGTTTTGCAGCATAGTACTTCAGACCAGACAGGAAAATTATCTATGGAGGGATAACTGGCAAGCTGAGAGCGGAAAAATAAAAACACCCATAGGGGTAGGTGAAACATGAACACAACGGTAACGCTTGGTAACCCCGGCAGTAATATTATGGGTGTTTGTAACTCAAAGGACAAACTGGTTTATGGAGGTTTATTTGCTTTAGCTTGCAGGTTTATTTTTAATCCCGACCCACGGAGGACCTTTCAGCCAGTGTTTCCTCGCGACCACGTGTCTCGAGACGATCATCCGATCAATCATATCATCGTCCTACTATCGTCCGTCGCACGCAAAGCCTCGTATCTTCTCAGTCTGTGAAAGTGTTCATCCTCTGGCACCCAAGGAACTGGCAGTAAACTACCCTCACATCGTTTGTCGGAAAAGCGTTGAAACGACTGGCAGTTTCACGTCTAACGGAGTACCTCGAGCGACACCAGTTGATGTTTAAAGAGTAATGTGGATTATACAAGAGGCGGTTCTGCATGACCGATTTTCTGCTTGCCCGTGAATGCTGATCTAAATGAAAGGACGAGGAATATTGCACGAACGTCATATTCGTTGATTTCAGCCCTTGACAAAGTACCCAAAGACATACTATTTGCTAAACTCAGGAATCTGGGCATCACGGAGCCCGTACTTCGCTGGTTAGAGGATTTCTTGAAAGGGACGTTCTTCTGGCGAGAGCTTCCCAGACGCAATCTGCCCGGTATATATTCATCAATGGTGTCCCAAAAGAGTCCGTTCTTGGTCTACTGCTGCTTCTGAACTTTGCGAACGACATGCCATTGATGTTGAGTAACCCGTGCCTAATCTACGCTGACGACCTCAAGCTCTGGCGTACCATCCGGTAGATCAGGTCTTTTTAGACGACCTTAATGCCCTGCTGGACTGGCCGAGTATGTGGGGGTTACCGATGAACATCTCAAAATGCGACTGTATGAGAATTGAAAGATATGGTTTCACCAAAAGCTACCATTTTGGAAGTACTGTGTTTCAACAATCATTTGAGGAGCGATATTAGGGTGTCGCCACCAGCAACTAGATGGGGTCTAGATCAGCCCCTATCCACAGACTTTGTAGGGTGCCTACCATTGACAGTAGGTGTTCCATGCTGTCTATTTTCGAACAACCTCCCTCTGCAGATACGGACCCGATAAGGGAGGCTGTTCCGGGAGAAAAAGTCGGCTGTGGTCAAACGGTCGACAAGAAGTCGAAGCTCCGGAAGAACGTGGCTCCGGCTGAAGCAAGAATCTGGACGATCGGTTGGCGAAAGCCTTTAACGTCCTGTGCAACCGGACCTAAACATGAAAAATCGTGTGCATATATTATCATCATTGTACAGCGTAATACAGTGAAGCGAACTTCACTGATCGCTACCAAACTCATAATAAGATAAGTGAGAATGTGTAAGGAGGACAGGGATTGGGCCTATTTTTAGGGACTAGAAAAGAAAGCGAACCTCTTTGGTCACCACAAAGAGTACACAGCCCAACTGTGCATACATACAAGTTCAAGCATTTTGGACTGATAAGAAGTGACAGTATGATCGCCATTGCTGTCGGTTCGCAGCCATTACCTCAGTGTCTCCAACCATGCGGTTTCGGAGTCTTTTGGACCCCAACCCGGAAGACGAGAGAAACCTACTCGCCTACACCTAATCGCTCTGCGCATTTCTTCATGCCTCGTCTCCACGTCATCTGCTGGCCTTCACGTGGCTTTCTCCAGCTTGTAACAGCCACTGCAAACAAGGCGCGCTGCGGTAGGCGACCGTCGGGCATACAAGAAACGTGTCCTAACCAACGGAGCCTACTGAGTTGGATTCGATGAGATAGCGAGTTCTTGTTCGATGCATTTTCAAACACCCGACGTCTTACTTCCAAGTTACTAACCTGCTCACTCCATACCACTTAGGCCAGACTACAAAAGCATCGATTGTCGAACACTGATAAACGACGGGTGTTTTCTACACGCAAATTCAAGGTCTCACAACCGTAAAGCAGAACTGACCGTACAGTGGCGCAGTATATACGACTTTTCAACTTGAGTGACACGTCACATCGCCGCTACAGGTGTTTTAGCCTTGGAAATGCGGGCGATCATTTCCTTCGATGCGCTACCGTCGTTGGTCACGCAGCTACCTAAGTACGAGAAGCAGTAAAATTCAGCTAATTCCTGACCGTCTAGTTTCAAAACAGAACTCGGTGACACCGTCTTGTAGCATCACTTTGCACTTTGAAGGTGCAAGGCATATACCGTGCATATCGAAAGTACTCGTGCTTCTGCGCGGAGCATGTTGGATGCTATCCGCTGTACGTTTGGTCCTTTAACTCTAACGACTTCCAGGTTGCTGTTTACCTCCCACGTAAGCCCTCGATTGAAATATGGTGGGCCGGCGGTCTTTCGTTTTGCGGCTTGATGCTACCAAATTGGAGGGAGTTCAATGGGCCAGTACACGTCTCATTGTAAGACTAAGTGGGACCAGCTATGGAGACCAACTGATGGCAA